AATTTAAACTCTATAGCGAGCTTCTTTGCTTGTTTACTAGTTCTATTCTTTGTAATATAAAAATATTTTGTTTTAGTCTTATTATTTTCAGACCAACGAAATCTCCAAGCATTATTATATTTATTAAAAGTGATTCTATTATAATTAGAAGTATTATTTTTAAATAATTTACGATTTAACATATTTTCTTGATGTGTTGTTTCTCTAAGATTAGATTCATGATTATCAAGTCCACATCGATTCACATGATCGATCATTTTCCATTCAGGACAAATCATTCGATGAAGTTGTAAATGTTTATAATTTTGATTTTTGTCATTTGTCCAAATATAATATGTATTATCATTTTTGTTTTTATGACAATACCACGTATAGTTTTTGACAAGATTAAAGTTGTTAAGATCTGTTAAGAATGTGATTTCTGGTTTCTGTGTTGAAACTTCGAGAAATAAAGTCGCATCAATTTCAACAATTCGATAAGAATTAGATTTTTTTTGAGGTTTAATAATTGAAAGTTTAGTCCAACCAGACAAAACTTCAAAGTCTTTAAATTTCTCTGACCACTTCATTTTTATTAAATAAAAAATAATCGATAAACAAGTCTTTTATAATTTTTATTTTCTCTGAGTCAAATTAAAAAAAAAATTTTTAAACAATTTTTCTTTACAAAAAAAAAAACAAGTCAAAAAAAAACTTTATTAAAAATAATTATTAAATTGATATACATTTAGTCTTGTAAAAATTTTACAAGTGCAAACCAGACCAACGTGCAGGTAGTATATCATCTGGTTCTTAAAAATTGAACGAAGAGCTAGAATTCAGGGGAGGAATCATATCAGCCCCCAAACCAATTTAGATATGACCCTTATCCTGCTCATCCATTTATAACCCAGATACTGCTTTACCATCAGGTGGTCAGCCTCAACGTATCAGGAGTCCTTGTGAGTGTTGCTCACAAGTCTTTGTTTGAAATTCTTTTTTATCTTTAAGACCAAGAAAAAAATAA